TTGATAGAAAAACACATCTGGAGGGTGCCATTTGCTTGGTAGATCACTTGTGTCTTGGTCCTCCAAGAAACAAAATAGTGTGGCTTTGTCCACCGCCGAAGCAGAATACATTGCCGCGGGTGCTTGTTGTGCACAAATACTTTACATGAAGCAAACTTTGCTAGACTATGGTGTAGTTCTAGAAAAAGTACCTCTTTTGTGCGACAATGAAAGTGCGGTAAAACTTGCAAATAATCCGGTTCAACACTCTCGCACCGAGCACATAGATATCCGACATCACTTTCTTAGAGATTATGTTGCTAAAAATGATATTTCACTAGAAGGTGTAAGGACCGAGGATCAATTGGTGGATATCTTCACTAAACCGCTAGATGAGGCAACGTTTTGTAGATTGCGGAATGAGCTCAATGTGCTTGATTTTAGTAACTTCTCTAGAAAATGAGCTTGTGTTGTCCCTTGCATTGCATTGTAATATACGACATGTTTAATTTATGGCAATGCATATAGGGTTTGTCTAACATGGTTAAGATAACCGCCGAAAAGCGAGTGAAGAAGCTTAACCTTGGATCAAACTTGACAAGCAACTAGATTTACTTTCAAGTATTGCATTGCATATGCATGAATGTTGTTTTGTCGTTTATCTTCAATTGCCCTCTTATTGCCTATTTTCTTAAAAAGAATTATAGCCTAAGGTAAAATATTTTGAAAAAATTGAGGGTTTGAGAGATGTCACTCACATCAGTCCTAATTGGTGTTTATTTGGATCTTATTGGAGTTGGGACTTGATTGGGAACAGGCAGCACGAAGGACATTGAAGATTTGCTAGAGAAAGAGTGACCGAACGCTGCACCGGACTCTGAAGTCCAGCGTCTGGTCAGTTCACAGGAGGTGAACTGCTGCTGAGAAGGAGTGACCGGACGCTGAAATAGTGTTCTCCCAGCGTCCGGTCAGAAGGCGATCCAGCGTCCGGTCAAGTGAAGAAGAAAAAGTTAGGATCCACCGGACTCTGGCTGCGTCCGGTCAGTTAGGATCGGACGCATCCGGTCGTGATTCCAGGGGTTTTGGACCTCTCTGGAATCGATCGACGCTGGGTGGCAGCGTCCGGTCGCTGCCACCAGAGCGTCCGGTCAGTAGAAAACGTGCAGGATTCAATCTCTTATCTCATTTCCTTTTCTAAACCGTCGGGGGCCACCATATAATCCAATCGCCGTGCGCCGCCTGGCCTAACCCTCACCCACACCGACATCGCCGAGCCGCCACATCACATCCGCGCCATCCTTCTCGTCGCCCGCAGCGTCGCTGTCCCACATCGTCGTGCCTACGCTCCAGCCTCGCAGTGCCCATGCTCCCGAGCTCCAGCCGTGCAGCAAGCTCCGCCGCACCATCCTCTGCCGAGCCCGCGCACCACCGCATCGTAGCTCGCCCTGCGCCTGGCTCGTCCGCTGCAGCCCCGCCGACCGACCCTTAGGTTTTGGTGTTTGATGTCAAAGGGGGAGAGGGATAGAGCATGTTAGACTTAGGGGGAGCTTAGTTTATCTATTAGATTATCTATTACATTTGGAGTTTTATGTGTGATACACTATTATGCATTCATCGTGTGTTTACCTTTATGCATCAAACTATATTTATGTGATAGTGATATCTACGTGATCGTGATATATGACATGTGTGCTCTCTATTTTAAATTATTTATATATCATATCACTTGTGTTATGCTCATTTGCTTTTGCTTCCGTGTTTTACTCCGATGCAAATGAGCTTTATTACTTGTACTCATACTTATTTCATATCTTTGGAGTACATTATGTTGGCTTGGGTCATATAAGCTTGCCTAACTCTTTTGTTCTTATTATCAAAAGCTTATATGATCCAAGCATGTTAAAAACATCAACTCTTTCACATACTCAAGGTGGTATTGTCATCAATCACCAAAAAAGGGGAGATTGAAAACATCTAGGCCCCTAGCTGGGTTTCGGTGATTAATGACAATACGTTATTACTATGACTAACGTGTGTTTTGCAGAGAAAATTAAGTTAGATCATGACAATGGAGATCGGGTGGGCAATCATGGTAGTCATGCCCCTACGATGGAAATCGTTTCGGTTTTCAAAGGATGGACGATAAGGTTAAGGATGGACTAGTTCTAAGTGTCGATTGGAGTTTAGGAGACACTTAGAGTAGTTTAGGACTTTGTTTTTTTCTTTGGCCGTACTATTAAGGGGGGTATGGACGAGTAGCTTGACCTAGGTGAGTCTTGTGAGTTAGGTGTGGTGCACACTTGCTAAATCTAGCACTAGGTAGCTCCAAAATAGCCCTTAGATCCAATGGAGCAAACTTCATTCACGTATGATCGAGAGTTGGAAGTGAATGGAGTGTCAAATACTGACCGGACGCTGGCTCAGAGTCCGGTCAGTTCATTTGACCAAGGTGATTTCATCTGGTGCGACCGGACGCTGAGAGGTGAAGTGACCGGACGCTGAGGGCTAGCGTCCGGTCGACTCTAGTAAGGTTCCAGAGAGGGAAAATCATGACCGGACGCGTCCGGTCAGTGCTGACCAGACGCTGGTCAGCGTCCGGTCACACTTTAAACACTGAAGTTCGGGGAGAACTGACCGGAGCGTCCGGTCAACATGATCGGAGCGTCCGGTCACCCCGCAGAGACACATAACGGTTCGTTTTTCAGCCGGTGTTATAAATACTTCCTCCACTCGTGTGTGGGGGTACTTTTGCTCATTCCAACAGCTGAGAAACACCTTTGAGAGTGCCAAGAAGAGCAAGGTCCTAGTGAGGTGATTGAGATTTAAGAATCCCAAAGAGAGCCCTCATTAGTTAGATCAAGAGTAGCAAAGTGTACATCCACCCTTCTCATTAGGCTTGTCGTGGTCAAGTGATAGTTCGTGCTTATTACTCTTGGTGATCGCCATCACCTAGACGGCTTGGTGGTGATTGGGAGCTTGGTGATCATCCGGAGAGCTTGTGGATGACCCAACTCAAGTTGTGAACGGTTATGGGTGATTCACCGTGACGGAGTGTCGAAGAATCAACCCGTAGAGAGCACTTGATCCTTGCGCGAATCAAGGGGGAGCTACACCCTTGCGCGGGTGCTCCAACGAGGACTAGTGGGGAGTGACGACTCTCCGATGCCTCGGCAAAACATCGCCGTGTTCCTCCTTCTCTTTTTACTTTGAGCATTTATTTTGAGCAATTCAATTCTTGTCATTTATATTCCTAGAATTGTCATGCTAGAGTAGGATTGGAACATAGGTTGTAAAACTTTTGTGCGTTAGATCAATAGAAACACTTTCTAGGCACAAGGGGTTAATTGGGCTAACCGTAGGGCTTAATTATTGTAAGGAAGTTTAGAATTAGCCCAATTCATCCCCCTCTTGGGCATCTTGATCTTTTCACATATCCTCAAACATATCATCTTCTCTCCTAACACTTTCTCTGTAAAAAACTCTAACACAATAATTCATCTACAAAAGCATTTTAAGAAACTAATTTTGCTCCCAAAGTTGGAGGAGGGTTAAGGACAGGGGGTGGCAGAGGAGGAAGAGGATGGGGAGAGAGGGAGGCCACACCACAGGGAAGCGACGGCCGCGCCGACAATGGGTAGGAGCGGCGACGCATTGGGGACAGGGAGGGACTGAGAGAGGGAGACAAGGGAGAGAGGGAGCCGGTAGGGGAGGCGCGGCGGGGGGGGTTGTGCGGCGCGGAGTGAAACAGAGAGGGAGGAAAGGGACTGGGCCTCTATTTCGCTCTGCCGCGCCATGACGAGTGGCGCGTCACAGCCACGCCGTGATCGGTGGCGCGGCAAGGCCTGTCACGTCAGCGGCCAGCGGGCCGGGACGTTGCCACGTACGCACCCCTGCCGCGCCGCCATACATGGTGAGACAGAGTTGTTTCGCCGCGCCCTGGAAATAGGCGCAGCCAAAAGTGGTACTTTAAAAAAAACAGTGTTAGAATTAAGAATAGTTTAAAAAAATGTGAAAAATAAAAAAAATGCTGCAGCCATGAAGGGTGTGTGCATTCTATCTGTATGTAGAAATGACTGAAAGAAAAGAAGAGAAAGAATTGGGTGGTAACTTCACCTCATGCTGCTTCAAGGTGATCCCATACACATGTGAAGATAAACGAACAAAATCCCTACGTTACCTGTCTCTGCCGAGAAATATAACTTTTGATATGCACAGTGCATATAGATACTCCGTCCGTCTCGGGATAGAAGGCACAATTTCTAATCTCTCCCATGATTGATACTTTGGTTCTCGTAGCATGCTAACCAGTCCCCAACAGAGAGAGAAAGACAATAACTTTTAACTTGCACACGCGTGAATAGTAAGGTGAGAAAGCCTGCGGGTGCAGTAAATGTTGCATGGCTGCATGCGCGTGAACCAGAGGATTTTTCTCTCACACCATGCTGTTCGTTCGGTCGTATTTGGCTTATAAACCATGATTTATCAATCAATAAATAGTATTTTTCTCTCACACCAAACTAGCTAACAGTACTTTCAGTCATGGCTTATAAGCCAAACCAGCCCAAACGAACAGGGCGGAGCGCCTTGTATCCTAGGAAATTAGAAAAAATACGTCTTCTATCCTGAGACAAGGGAGTATATACTATGTCTATAGAGACGTAATAATAAAAACTATGTCTAAAAACCAAAATATACTATGTCTATACATTTATGTTAGAATATAGTCCCAATGAAATTATTGAGGTACTTCGTCCAGTTCTTTTACAGGAGAGTCTTCATGACAACTTTATTAATTACGAAATGTTAGTTATATTTTCCATGATCTTCTTGCTAATAATAAAATCTAGGGTTTTGTCGACCAAAACACAAGCATTCTTAACATATTAGAAAACAAAACCTAGCTATTTCATGCCTTCACCAACATTTTTCACCAACATCCAACATCATATTATGTTGGCAATCTATTATTTAATAGTTGCATTCCTGTTGTAGGTCCACAACACACCATCATCAGAAAGACGATGAGAGGACGCAAGATCCGCAAGAGGTTTAGGTTTTATCGTCGTGATGTGTTTGGCACAAGGACTCACCGCGGAGGTAGTGACATGGTGAGGCTCACCCCGTTGGGCCGCGAGCTGCTCCTCCGCATGAAACTGCAAATCATCAAGAATATATACTCCAAAATCCCAGGAATATACGAGTGGGACGCATACAAGCAACACCTGCCCGCCATCAAGGTGCACATGGCCGCCATCACCAAGGCCCTCGAGATGTACAAGGCACGCCACGTTGAGCGTGGCCTGTTCCACTTCCGGCCTAAGCCCAACTTGCTCGGGTTCTGGATCCTTTGCCCCTGGTGTGTTCGGGGTGGCGCTCAAGCTCGACATGAAGGCCTTCGCAAGTGGAGGCGCCGGTGCAAGAAGAGGGCGGCTATTGCAGCGGCTGCCGCTTTGCGCAATAGGCCAACGATGGACCATGTGTCTTCCCTCGCGGAGATGAAGATGAGATTTATGGGAGCCCGCACAATGCTATACTTGGCCTACCTTGTGTTTGTTTCTATTTTAAGTTGCATAATTGTGTTCATGTGATGATCAACTACAAAATTAATTAGACAAAATTCCCAGTACTATGCAATTGAACCTAGGGACTGTTTGAGCAGCTGGATCATTGTAATCTGGATTATGAATTATAATAACAGTGTTTGGATTCCTAGATTTTTGAGGTTGATGACCAAAGGGAATATTTCAAATACCGCATTTACACACAAATTCTAAACAAGATCTAATGGTTCTATAGTAGTACGAGCACATTTTAACCGTTCAATGTATTGATGACATTTTCATTAAGTATTTTTAATTATTAAATTAAATCTTAAGTACTCTGCTCAACTCGTATTTGAATGGTTGTATTAGTAACGGTGATAGGTGTGAAAAAAAAAAAGACAGCGTACCCGTGAATAATTGAGACGTTGAGCCGTTTTGACTGAAGAAGCATGTGGCCAAACAAAGCGCACCCGGCCCTGGCGTGGTGTGCCTGCTGCCCCGTTGGCCGTTGCGCCTGCGCTTGTGCCTGTGCCTGTGCCTGTGCGGTGCGTCGAGCAAAGCCAAAACGAAGACCATTCCGTCGCTTGGGCAGGGCTTCACGCCTTCACCCCACATACACCTGTGCCCGCGCGCAGGTGTCATCTGCCCCGCCGCCGGCCCGCCGCACGCCTCCTTCCTCCGTGCTCGTGCCACCGCACGCCCTTATAACCATCGCAGACTCCTTGCTCGGGGCACCGCACTACCGAAGCAACAAACACCAGAAGTCAAGAAGCGCATCAGCTCAACTCACCAACCACCGAACCGCACCCCAGAGCGGCATCAGAGCAAGCAAAGGATGGCCTCTGACTCTACGGCCGCCGCGACGGTCGACGGCAGCGCGCTCGCGGGGCGCGCGCTGGCCGCGGCGGGCACGCGGCACATGTTCGGGGTGGTGGGCATCCCCGTCACCTCCCTCGCGTCCCGCGCCGCCGCGGCCGGGGTCCGCTTCCTCGCCTTCCGCAACGAGCAGTCCGCGGGGTACGCCGCCGCCGCCTACGGCTTCCTCACGGGCTCCCCGGGCGTCCTCCTCACCGTCTCCGGCCCGGGATGCGTCCACGGCCTCGCGGGCCTCTCCCACGCCACCGCCAACGCCTGGCCGCTCCTCATGGTCTCCGGATCCTGCGACCAGGCCGACACCGGCAGGGGCGACTTCCAGGAGCTCGATCAGATCGCCGCCACCAAGCCCTTCGCCAAGCTCGCCGTCAAGGCCACAACCATCGCCGACATCCCGCGCCTCGTCTTCCAGGCCCTCGCCGCCGCCGTCTCCGGTCGCCCCGGCGGGTGCTACCTCGATATCCCGTCCGACGTCCTCCACCAAACCCTCGCTGAATCCGAGGCCGCGGCTCTCATAGCAGCCGCCGCCGCCAATTCGGCTGCAGCCGATCCTTCCCCGTCGAAGCACAAGTCCCTAGACGAGGGAATCGAGAAAGCTGCGGACCTGCTCCGGCGTGCGGAGCGGCCTCTGGTTGTGTTTGGGAAGGGTGCGGCGTACGCGCGCGCGGAGGAGGCGATTCGGAAGCTGGTGGACACCACGGGCATCCCCTTCCTCCCGACGCCGATGGGGAAGGGGGTCGTGCCTGACTCGCATCCACTCTCCGCCACGGCGGCACGCTCACTCGCCATTGGGCAGTGCGATGTGGCTCTGGTCGTCGGTGCCAGGCTTAATTGGTTGCTTCACTTTGGCGAGCCACCCAAGTGGTCCAAGGATGTCAAGTTCATCCTTGTGGACGTCTCCGAGGAGGAGATTGAGCTCCGGAAGCCACATGTGGGGATTGTTGGGGATGCGAAGAGAGTAATTGAGCTGATCAACCGGGAGATCAAGGACAATCCATTCTGCTTGGCTAAGTCGCACCCATGGGTTGAAGCTATCACCAAGAAGGCCAAGGACAATGTTCTTAAGATGGAGGCGCAGCTAGCAAAGGATGTTGTGCCGTTCAACTTCATGACACCATTACGGATAATCAGAGATGCGATCCTTGCTGAGGGGAGTCCTGCTCCGGTAGTGGTCTCAGAAGGGGCAAACACCATGGATGTTGGCAGGGCTGTGCTTGTGCAGAATGAACCAAGGACAAGACTGGATGCAGGGACATGGGGGACGATGGGCGTTGGATTGGGGTACTGTATTGCAGCTGCAGTAGCTGAACCCGAAAGGCTTGTGGTTGCTGTTGAGGGCGACTCTGGATTTGGATTCAGTGCAATGGAGGTTGAGGTATGAATGCAAACATTCCAGCTTCACTTGGAAAGGCTAATTACTTAAATCTCAGTACTTATTTGGTTTATTAGTTGTGTAAACATGTTATTTTCGTCTGCTTTTTTGCTATTGTCATGTTGATATGAGCTGAAATTAACACTCTTCAGGTTGGAAGAAAAGGCCAGGGTCATGTTATGTTGATGTCAATAATAATAACATACTGGCAGAGGCCGTTATCTATTTATATGAACTACTCCATGATGCTGCTGCTGCCATGTTCTAGATGTTAATATGACACATAGTAACATGACAAATAGAAAATTAATCTAATGAATGTGCATAGATTGCATGATCCCTGAATAATTACCCAAGGACTTGTGTATGAGTCATCTTTTGCAGTTGTGCTAGTTCACACTATTACTACAAGTTTTCAAGGTAGCAAATGCTTTTATCAACAGAAATGGATTACTGTTCAATTGTTGTCCTAAAATGGGCCCAGTCATCTGTTTTGGCTGATCCAGGAGCAATTGAATTATCCTAGTGGTTCAGCCTCGTCAGGATATATTCTTATAGTATACATTCAGCAATATAAATATGCCAATATGGATACTTCGTTGCTTTTGCATACTACATCTCCCAGCTCCATACAGTTCACCATATATGAATATTTAATTTTGTAGTATTTATACACCTGTAATCTCAGTGGTGCTTCACAACATGAGCATTTCATATGGAATCACAGAGGAGATCATTACTCATAGATTATACATTTTCCAGCGAGCCTAAAATTTCATTGTTTTATGTGACAGATATCCATCTGTATTGCCAACTGAATGATGGAATCATTTTGCTTTTATGGTGACCTTGTTTTTTTTTTTTAAGATTACTGCACATTATTTTTCTATATGATCTGATGAATGCTAGCCAAAACCATTCCTCGCCCTGGGGCATCTTTTAACTTATCTGCTATCTGCTCAATGAACCGGAATATGTCTATACCCTTACTTATTATTTTATACTTCTACTCATTATAAGGGTTATTGGTGATGCAACTCTGAATTGTAGGTGTTACTTGTTAGAGTCTCAATTCTTATAATAGGAGGCAGGAGTATTCTATTTCAATTTTACAATATGTGTATTGTTGTGTACCAATCAAAATAGTAGGAGTAGGATATTCGAACTGCAGATGTTTGGATCAAACAAATGATGGAAGTGTGTAAAGTACTGTATCTAAATCTGATCATTTGCTTGCTTAATTAACCTTGATGGACTAGCTGCACACAGTTACGCCATAACTAGCCATCTAATTAGCCCAGATTTCGGATTTTACTGTGGTTGATATATAGGAAAAGTAGTAAAACTCCATAGATTGTTTGAAAGTCTATGCCTGATTGACTAGGAAGTACCAATCCTCTGTTTAATTTGGTCAACTTTACTAGTTAATTTTTGCTTCATTGTTTCTATGCCATTTTTATTTCTTGTAACTTCTAGTTGTTTCCCTATCAACTTGGATTACATGATCTGTTTTTATTTTCCTTGATTTTCTTGTTTTTCTAGTAACTGGGTCCCTTAAACTATCTTTCCCTAAGCTGGCTGTACCATATGTTTATCATTTCATTTGGCCACATTGTACCAGACAGAGATACCTAATTATTTTCTTTTGTGCCTTTTGCTTTACAGACGTTGGTGAGGTACCAGCTGCCTGTCGTTGTAATTGTTTTCAACAACAACGGTGTCTACGGCGGTGACCGGAGAAGCCCTGATGAGATAACCGGACCCTACAAAGATGACCCTGCCCCAACTTCTTTCGTTCCGGCAGCGGGCTACCATAAAATGATGGAAGCTTTCGGAGGGAAAGGTTATCTTGTGGAGACACCAGACGAGCTCAAATCTGCCCTTTCAGAATCGTTCCGTGCCAGGAAACCAGCAGTGATTAATGTTATCATTGATCCTTATGCCGGTGCAGAGAGCGGTCGAATGCAGCACAAGAACTGAGCGTGTTTGGTTTGTACCATATTATAGCAGGATGCAGATGCGACTTACAAATAAGCAACAACCTTGAGATTCGTGTCCGTCGATCAATCCCTTTGTGTGTTATGACCTCGCTTCGTTGTCCTTGGTACAGATGTGGGATGCCTTTAATTGAAAGTCTCCTTTGATGGCATGTAAATGTGTTATGATTGTTTGCATGCCATGATGCAAATGAAAGGATGTTAATGAGTTCTCCAACTTGCGCATGCAAACGAAAGGGATGTTAGAGCAACTCCAACAGATGTGCTATCTTTGTTGGCTAGACTATATTTAGATTTTTACAGTAAAAATGGAGCTCCAACAGACTTGCTATCTAGTTTTCTAAAATGGCAAGTGAGCTATCTCTGAAATTTCGCTAGATATAGAAAGCAAGCCAACGCCGCTCGCCATCTGCCGAAATCCTTCCCTGCGTGCGCGCAATCCTTCCCGCGCGCAGCAATTTCCTTCCCGCGCGCGCGGTGAACTTTCCCGTCGTGGGGATCCCAGGCCCAACCGCAATTCCCTAGCTCGCTTCGTTCGATTCGGCGTTTCGTAACTTCGGTCGTCCATCGCCTCCTCCCCTCCCCCGCCCCTGCCGCCACAGCCGCACCACCGGAGCGCCGGGCCTCCGATGTCGCACTTTCCTCATGGACAAACTCCGCCGTCCGAGCGCCAGGGAGACCCCAACTGCGCTGCCCTATATTCGCTCCCTATTAGCCAGGAATCAAGCGGATGGAAGCAGCAGGACTCACCAGTGCTGCCTTGGTTGGAAAATGTGGCGCAAGGAGGCCAGCGACGACGAGTCCTTCCACCCAACAGTGCCGCCGCTGCTGCATCGAACCCTTTCCTCGACGTGTGCTCCAGTGAGTCTAATTTTCAGTAGGTCTCTCTCAGATGCTGCAGCAGTTTTTTTTTTTTTTGTGTGTGTGAGGTAGAGGATTGCAGATTTGACCAACCAGTGGTTGGCACCATGTGCCCAAGGTCCATTGTTCTTTCCCCAATTTTCCATCGCTAATGTGGAAATTGTAGTAGCGTCAAGGAGCCCCCACTTACTGCAGTAAAGCCATTTACTCTTTGATATCTGAAACATGGATGTACTAGCTGTTACAGACCTTCAGTCCTGAGGTTGAAAGCCATTCATCATCAGTAATAGCTTAAGCTGAAGTCTGAACACCTCGCACCAAACAAAGTTCTGTCATAGGCACTCAATTTTGTGCACTTCATTATAATAGATCTTCACAAATGGATGTAGAAAAGGGTAGTTTAGTTGAAAGCAGCAAGGCTACCAACTAAGATCAAACATTTTAGTTGCCTGTATCATGGATGAGTTTCACTTATTTTCAATGTTATCCTAGACGCTGTAATGCTGGAACTTGTGTTCCATAATTACCCCACCATTTTGCTGTATAAAAATTCATATTAAATCAGCACAAGATAGTAAAACTGAACTGAAGCATACATTTCAGTTTTTTTTGTGTTTGCAAATCTGAATTAAAGCAGAAGAGAGCACAAGACATTATATAAATTTAGATATGTATACTCTGTAGGAAAACTATGGCTGCAGGCTGCACCTGTAATCACTAAAAAAATACAACTAAAATAAAGAGTCATTACCTGGCTTAAAATCAAAATCCTTTCAGCCAGCCTTTGCTACTAGTTTTGCAAAATGTCCTACTTGATCCTTAAACTTGGTCAACTCCTCATTTACTACTTGATTTTGCTTGTCATAATCACCATGGTAAAATGTTTCAACAGCTGACATCAACCCATCCATGACTAGCTCACTTGCGTAGATAGTAGGATCATTATTATACTGTAGCATGGATTCAGAAAATATGCAGCCAACTGCAAAGGTGTGTCAAACATGGTTTTTGGTTGAAAGAAATTTTTCATATTGTTTAATGCCTGACAATCTTTCATATTTAAGTTGCAGTTCTTGTCTTGTCCTTTTTGTATAATTTGAGAAAACTGTCTTTTTGTACTTGACAATATGCTGATAACATGTTCAGTTCATCATCTTACATGTTACTTGTGTTCTGTTCATACAGCCCAAATGGATTCAGGGAGATCTTTGACCGACATGATTATGGAGGGCTTCACTCCTGTTACAGTGTTCAACAATATCCCACTTCGTAGTGATGTACAAGCACGCGATGAGGTCGCTGCTGCGGTGAAAGGAATTTAAAAAGGTCCAAAAATTTCACTGTTAAAGAGGACGAGATGTTGGTGTCAGCATGGCTAAATGTGAGTTTGAATCCTGTGCGAGGAGTCAATCAATCAAAAATACCTATTAGAAAAGAATACATGATTACTTCCACGCACACAAGGATGTTGATTCCGATCACACACAAAGCTCTCTAATGAGTCGGTGGTATGGTATATAACATGATTGCAACATATTTGCTAGTTGTGTTTCAAAGGTAGAGGTCAGAAATCAGAGTGGTGTATGTGTCGATGACAAGGTTAGATGACCTCTTGACATGCCAATTTCTTATATTTTTGCTGAATCTCATGTGTCATCTTTGTTTTCCATTGCAGCAAGCAAACGCATTAACTATGTATAAGAATGATGACCCATTTCATAGGACTTTCCAGTACATACATTGCTGGAAAATTCTCAAAAACCATTCAAAGTGTACGCATAGGCGCCAGCAGATTGAAGCTCAGAAACCATTCAGCAAAAAGCAAAAGACCACTGCTAGTTCAACTCCTGCTACTGATGCAGCAGAACATATCACTGGTACTGTAGATGAGACACATACTACAATAACCACAGTGGACAGGCCTACTGGGACTAAGAAGAAAAACAGAAATTAAAGCAGCGTTCCAGCATTGAAGCTTTGGATTATTTATTGGCAAAGAAGAAAGAGGTGGATGCTGAGAAGGAGATGAAGAAAGAAGAGAGGGAGTTGAAGAAACATGAGATGCTCCAAAAAGCCCTTGCTTTGCAGGAAGAAAGGATAAAACTTGACAAAGATAAATTTGATTTCGAGCGGGATCGAGAAGAAGAAAACATTATCAATGTTGATATGAGCACCATGTCAACCAGACAGCAACAGTTCTACGATGATCAACAGAAGAAAATACTTGCAATACGGCTTGGAAATTAGTAGTACCATGATCTTCAATTTTTAGATTTGAGCATAGTGTGAGACATGTCTAATTTTCTGAAACATTTTAGTTGCCTCTAGTTCACAGCATATCGGATTGATTAGTGTTTTTGCATGAACCTTGTTATCTATATTATTATGTAAAGGAGCTGCTTTTGGTGTTTTCACCATCACATATATATGTCAATGCATGAACAATGTATTTGTACATACTGATAGGGGTAGTATCAATGTCATCCATTGTATCAATGCCTTGAACTATTAAAAGACAGATCAAATAAAATTGCAGGGCATCCTCATCTAAACACATATTTATTACAGTATCTAATAAATCAAACAAAGAAGATAGGTCCGGAAATTAATGCAGAATGCCTTGATGTTGTGATAGTAAATGAAATCATTCAACAATACTATTTGTATATAAATCTGGAAAATTATGCCACAAGTGCTCGATAAGGTCGGCTTGAAGCTGTGTGTCTCTCCTTGTCCTTGATCTTCTCGTAGTTCTGCATAAACGCATCGAACTTAGGTGTATCATCGTGTGATACAATCACCTTTTCTCCCACATCATCATATCTGAAATCTTTTTCGTCAACTCCCTCGTCTTCAACAATCATATTGTGCATAATGATACAAATCGTCATGACAAGTTAAATTGTATCCTCATCCCACACACATGCCGGCGCTCGAACAATGGCAAAGTGAGCTTATAGAACCCCAAATGCTCGTTCGACATCCTTCCTACAAGCTTCTTGTGCTTTTGCAAAATATTTGTTCTTATTACCCTGTGGCTCAGGTATGGTTTTCACGAATGTGGCCCAAGATGGATATATATCATCTGCTAGATAATAACCCATAGTATAATCATTCTCATTGATGCTATAATTTACCTGTGGCCCTTGACCTTCAGCAAGCCTTGCAAATATAGAAGATTCTTGAAGAACATTTATATCATTATGCGAACCTGGCATCTCAAAGAATACATGCCAAGTCCAAAGATATTTAGAAGCAACAGCTTCTAAAATAATTGTAGGCTTCTTTTTATGTCTCCTATACATAACTTACCATTCAACCGGACAATTCTTTCAGGTCCAGTGCATACAATCAATGGAACCAAGCATGCCAGTAAAATCTCTACGCTCACCAATCACAAGTAATCTAGCAGTATCATCTTCATTAGAGCAGTACTCATGTCCAAATACGTGAACAACAGCTCTGACATCTTCATTAGAGCAGTACTCATGTCCAAATACGTGAACAACAACTCTGACAAACTTTCTAACACTTTCTAGAGCAGTACTCATGTCGCCGCCATGACGCACAGGGATCGGAGTCTCCTAGCCCTATTGATGCGAAGCTGCAGAGCTGCCAGGACGCCGCCGCGGGATGAGTCCGTGCTTCCTATTCACGCGCGAGGAACAGGTCCGAGCCTCCGAGCCGATGGGAATCAGCCGGTAGTTACGTGACGTGGCATCTTTTCAATATAGCATATGAGAAATAGCCAGTCTCTCGTGGAACTCTTCTTTTTTGACAAATTTTGTATTTTATAAAATGGCTAAACTATAAGATTTGGCTACTAGTTTTATCTCATCTGTTGGAGATGCTCTTAATGAGTTCTCCAATTTGCCCGTGTTCAGTTCCAACAACATCTCACTGTGCAAATGAAAGGTATGTTATTGAGTTCTCCAACTTGTCCCGGTTCGGTTCAACAACTCGAACTTGCACCTGGATTGAAGAAAAAAACTGTACTTTTTTTTTGTGAAGTTAGAATATTATTCTCTCTTTTTAAAGAACCAATTAGCTCTTTGGCCGATTATATTCAAGCTGTTTGGCTGATGGTTTTTGCGGCTGATAAGTTTATTTGAAACTGATTTGTTGTGAGAAGAAAATATTGTTTCATTACTAATAAGCCAGGCTGATAAGTTCAAGCAAACAGAAAAAGAACCCAAACTAGGTAAACACCATGACAACGATGACTCTAAAGGGTGGTATAAAACAACAACAACTAAAGACAACACATCTGCACTAACAATTGAGCACAACTATCTTAAATATCGACGACAACAGTCTGTTGGACTAGAACCTCAACATGCGCCGCAAAACACCAACGCATTGACTACTCCACACGAGCAAAGACAAACGCTCCACGAGCATTGACTACTCCACACGAACAAAAACAAACGCTCCACAAGCAGCTTACTCCCGGAAGCCCCATGCAGGAACATTGGACGTCAATGTAGCAAGTCGACACACCATCGTCACCGCCTACGCCATCGTTGTCGATGAAGTTTCACACCGAGCCAACCAATGCCATGCAAGGCTAACCGTCATGCCCCTACAAACCATGTAGTCGTCTCGCCGTCGCCTCCGTTTCGCCGCCTATCAACGCCGCCCCACACCAGACTAACCCTTGCCATGCAAGGGTAGCCACAGCAGTCCACTGCAAGCTATCAAGCCGATACACGAGCAACTGCCTCTAGTTGGCCAAGCCCACAGCCACCAACAACATCGGCTCACATTGCAGCTCCTACCAACCAGGCCACCTCATCAAGACAGTAGAATATCAAGTATCGTCTCTAGCTGCCATCAGACACCACGCCGGACACCATGGCAAAGCACTTCTGCTGGCCCACCTCCTTCCTCGCCAACTTTGTGGACACTGGTCGCCCAACACAACCACCACACAGACGCCAAGCCCTACTACGCCTATGACCTTGGCTGCCTTCCACCACCTATGACACCCTCCTAGCCACTATCAATGTTTCGCCACCACTGCCAGTGCCACATGAAGGACCCCGCTGTGCCACTACACAGCTTCCACATGTGCATGCCACCACGCCATGCAAGAGTAGCCACACCATCATCATTGTTGTGCCAGCACCACTTCGCAACACTCGCAACCTCCGCACCATCGTGCTGGCGTCAAACATCCTCCGTACCACCGAGGTGCCACCTCCACCACCGCAGCCCACGAGCGACCAAAAGTCGTCGCGACATCTCCCCTCTGCGGCTCTGTCGTTGCACACGTGCGGCCTCCATGTCGCCATCCGTTGCTGCCCACGCGCAGCCTTCACACAACCTCCACACCGTCGTTGTGCAACGCGCCACGCATGACCTCCACCGTGTGCCATGAGGGCCGTAGTCACCTACGCCGTCCTCGTGCCATCCCTCCGCCACAGCTGCAGGCCCCGCCCGACACACGATCGCAGTTTGGCTGGTATGGCCAAATCCAAGCGCTGGCTCACCATATTTGACCTCCATTGCAAGGAATGGAGTCACCACACTACTGCAGTTGTCGATTCCTTGTTGTCCTCGCTGATCTTCTAGTGCTGCCACCGCCGATGTGGAAGATACGAACGGATAAAGGCTCCAGTTCACCAGATCCGCCCTCCCCCGGCGAGGATCAGGCTTTGACCCGCCTTTGTCGTCTTCCTAGACATTGGGGACCTCGAGCACACCTAGAGACAGGACGAGGCGAAAGAACAGGAAGGTGGCGAGGTGGCTGGAGGAGACAACAGGTCGCCGCCCGAGTCGCTCCTGACATGAGTGACGTGGGGGCTCGTTATAAGCTCAAATACAAATCACTAGTTCCATTCCAATGTCTGCTCTGTTTCTATATTTCTAATTCTATCTATATCTATATATTTTATTTGTTTAATATTAAAGTAACTTCTTCTTATGTCTCTCACTCTCACCACGTCTGTCTGTTCCTCGTCACTCATGTTTCGCCTCAGTACGAATTGGAACGTATGACGTGTTCATTACGTGTATCTTTGAGGCAGGGCCGGCCCTGATTTTTTTTAGGCCCAGGGCGAAACTACAATCTGGGCCCTTTATATATACATGACATTGATAGTACTAAACGTAAATACATATATATAAACACTTAACTGCGGATGCAATAGCAATATTCATATAAAACAATTCATAAATATTAAATTACCTTAAAAATATATTAATCATATCAAATCATATTTTTTACGGAATTAAATGAAGATAATTTTTATATGAAAATTATAGATCTCGACGAGATCTATAATTTTCTAGTTTTGAGTTTTTTCATTTAAAGTCGTTAAGATGCTCAAAAAAATTAATGACATATTTAGACTTAATGGTATTTTTGACTCTTCACACCTGCAGTTTGACACCGTTAGAGCCCAATCTAACGGCAGTGGCATGTAGGGCACAAAAAAGTTAGAGCAGTGGCGCTGAAGACCGCTGAATTTTTTCAGAAACTCACAAAGAATTGCGATCTTTTTTAATGGCACGCAGGGAATTTCCCCCAAAACTAAACGGAGTGCACCTTCATCGCTGAAAGCCATTAAGGCAGCCGCAATGGGACTGGGAGACACAAGGATGGAATTTAGGACTTACGGTGCACTACAAACATTGTGGAGCCAACCTTAAGCAGGACATAGGAAAAGCTGACAGTAAGCTTACGGTCGAACATAAGCAAATAAAAAACAATCGATGAATCTCTCTTCTCTCTGATTGCCCACCCTTGCACGAAGGATGATGGAGTTGACAGGAGGTTAGAAAGAACTGATTTCTTTTGTAGAGTGGGCCCTATGTTTATTTCTCTCACCATTGTGCGATGTAACATAGCTAATGTCAACTTGATTTGGGCCCCACGCTTAAGGTTAGATTACATGCACATTGCGCGCGGCCCGTGTTCTATGCAGACTCCACCCCGGTTTGAGTGCGCCACGAAATCGTACGTGCGTGTTTGTTTGTCTGGATGGCCTTTTGGGACAGGCCCGCCAGCTGCAGCAGCCCATGTTTATTTGGCTGGACGCGATTTAGGCCTGGGCAGCGCGGTGCTTAAAGCACCCGCGGGCCTGCATCCGAAAAAAATGAAATGAAGTTTCGTTCCTCTCCGGCTTGGTCCGCTCGATGCAACAGCGGCTGCTTCCATCACCTCCCATAACTTTTCTCTCACCGCTACGGCTCCTCTCGACGAGGCGAACGCGGGCGCTCGCAGCAACCGGCGCTGCCACCTCGCGGGCACCGGCGCCTGCTCCACCAATGCCACCGGCGCCACCACCGCCGCCCTCTTCTCTCCGCCAGGATCTCGCGTCGTGAGCCACCGCCCGCCTTCTTCTCTCCGCTCAAGATCTCGCCCACACGGGGGCCTCGCCCGGTGGCGACGGCCGGGAGTCCGGGACCGGGCTCGAGCTCGCCCATGGCGGCCGGACTGACGCTCAACCTCAATCAAGGCGGGAGACTTGCCCGGTGGCGGCGGAGGCGGGGCTCGAGTTTCGGCCATGGCCGGCGCTTCGACCAGCGCTTCGCCCTCAGCAAATATGGCGCGCTCGCCCGATTGCAGCGGCCGGGACTGGACTCAAGATCGCCCATGGCGGTCGGGACTCGGGACGGACGTGTGCCCATGGAGGTTGCTGTGGACGTGGTGCTGGAGTAATTTTTTTATTTTTAACACTTTTTTTAAACTATTTTTAATTCTAGCAATTTTTTTTTTCAAAAGTAGCACTTTTGGCCGCGTCTATTTTCAGGGCGCGGCGAAAGAACTCTGTTGCGCCATGCATGGAGGCTGGCGAGGTGTGTACTAGGTAACGCCCCCGCCCATCGCCGGCGTGGCGAGCCTTTGCTGCGTCTCGATAAAAAGGCTGCGTTGTGACGCGTCACCCATCGAGGTATGACAGAAGCGAAATAGAGTTCTGCGGCCCGGTCCCTTTCCTCCCTCTGTTTCACTCCGCGCCGCACAGCAGCCGCCTCTACGCCGCCCAGTCCCCGCCGCCGCGCCTCCCAGCCCGCACCGCCGCGCCATTGCCTCCCGGCTCCCCCACGGCCGGCCGTCGACTTTCCCTCCCTTGCCGGCCCCCTCCCTACCTTTTTCGAAGCTTCTTCTCAGCCTTGTCAAGGTTATGAAGCTCATTCTCGGCCTGCACGGTGGATCGAATGATTTAAATGAGTAGTTAGGGTGTGAAGGAAAATATGAGCTCGTTAGAACGTTGAATTTAAGGATTAGGATTAGGATTGTCAGTATTAAAGTTAATTGGTTAGTTAGAATTATGATTAACATGTATTCTAAGGTCAATTTTATAAGAATTTTGCTTGTTTGAGTTTGCATCTCAACTTTTATATGTCAAGAAATATATGGACACAACGTTGATGTACCAAATTTTATTTTTTAGTGACCAAAGTATAGCTTTTATATAGTTTGCATGTTTACCTCTAAGATAGAGTTTGCATCAAATTGTAGGTTATATTTTATATGTTGTAATGCAAATGGTTCTCATTGACATTAATTCGTGATGTTTTGATTTTTGTTTGTTAAATTACAACCGTTTTGTTAGATGCAAGACATGTATCAGAAGGAATTTTATTAAAAACGGAGTCGTCCTAGAGAATTATACCCCGACGTGTCTAGCAAAGATACTCCCGTCTCTCCTGACATCCCAGTCCCTAACTGTGACTGTGGTTTCCCGGCCGACGTGTTTCAATCGAGACATCCAGACACAGCGGCGCGTTGCTTCTACACATGCAATCGTTTTAATGTAAGTAATTATTCCCTCTATCTTTTTTTATTTGTGTAACTAGGCTACTAATATTTCGTTCGAATCTTGTTGTATAGGCCCATGAGAGGTGCTTTTTCTTTCAGTGGATCGACGGTGACGACGCGTTCTTCTCTCAGGCCGTAGATGAAGCAGAGACCGCTTACTACAGACGACAGACAGATCAAGGCAATGTAGGTGAGCCTAGCCACATGAGCCAGACGGAGGAGGACGCGTTCTTGACTCAGACCACAGAGGCCGCAGGTGAAGCGAAGGTAGCTTACTACAGGCGACAGGCAGATCAGGGCAATGCAGGTGAGCCTAGCCACAACAACGAGGTAGTGGTAGAGGACTGGTACTCTGTGACAGAACCGCCCAATTTATACAAGATCAAGTACGGTTGTCCCCGCTAACACGTTGACACACCCATACTTTCACTCATATAAACCCGGTAGTCCGCCGAGTGTCCCGAAAGACCTCGGTAAATCAACATCACAACCAAGATCGCGTGATTAAGCAAATACACATCACATACATCAAAGTTGCAGTGAAATAATATTACAAAGGGGTTAACAAATAATAGTACAAGTTTGGGTTTCAAAACCGCTTAGTGAAAACAACATAGCTTTCAAATGATTACATTAATATAAGTTCCAAATATATTGCTAGCATAGTGACATCATCCGACAAAAGCATATAGATGAGAAGTAAGTATAGAATCACCGAGCCCACACGGTGGTTAGCCACCATCTTCAACAATGGTCGAGAACTTCACCGCAACAAGGTGGGATAAACCACGAGTACTCGAATGTACTCAGCCGGACTTCTTACCGTCGGAAACCAAAACAAATGACACCAAGGATCATGCAAGGCTTTCTTTAGTGGGCTAGTTGACTTATTTGCGAAAAGCATAAGCTATCATGAAGAAACCATTTTAAATACTTTGCATCATCTTTATTATGACCTATCCATCTAGGTAAGCACTGTACTATATCAATCACTTGATTAACCAATAACATCCGATTACCAATTTAGATTTAGCATATCCCATACCATCCAGATAACCATCATTGTTCCATAATAATTACTACGATGCGATAACTTTCGAGTCAAGTGCTCACTATCCGGGAGCGATGGCGATTCGAATCGATTCCTAACCGGTGGTGATTTATTCCTTACACAAACCTCACTCACCCGCTAAAGTGAGATATTGATCACCGAGTCAACTTTCCAGGTATCTCGAGTTTGCCAGGAACCACATGTACCCGGGGGCCGACCGACTGCACTTTGGTCTTATCATTCCGCCCCCGTGTCCTACCACACTGCTTCCCCGCACAAGGTCGTGCTGCAGGCAATCTACTCGGCCGAAAAATCTCCCGGCTTCAGCGGTCGGAAGGTACTTTATCCGGCCAGCTAAATGTAAGGCATGCGTTCAACATGACTCGAGGCCCAACAACGGTCGGTCCTTAATCGACCTGACGAAACTAACAAAGCACCCCGTAACCACATGCAGGTTGCCTCCAACTTTTCCGTCCGGTCTCCAATTATCCATCACACATGGTTACTTCCAGGATATCATTCTTTCCATAGCTAAATTCTTCCGGTAACCACCTATAATG